GGGAAGGTGTCGTATATGCTGCCGAAAACGATCCTCTGGATCTCGAGGAAGTCGGGCCATGTCCGCAAACTTTGAGGGCACCATTTGTCTCGAGGGTTGGTGATGGAGCCCTTCGAGGTGAGATCTGGGTCTGTTTCGATGACGAACCGAGAATACACAAGGGAATGGCAAGCCGCAATATACTCATCCAATGTCGTCGGTCTTGTTTGTTCCTCTGCTATATCGGCGCGTTGTCGCTCCCTCTGCTGCCCGCGTTCTGCTTCATCGCCGCGTTGGCGCTCTTCCTCGGCGCGTTGGCGCTCTTCCTCGGCGCGTTGTCGTTCTTCCTCGGCACGTTGTCGTTCTTCCTCGGCACGTTGTCGCTCCTCCTGTTGTCCTTTCTCTGCTTGCTCGGCACGCTTCTCCGCCTCTCGGAGAAGCTTTTTTAATTGCTCAGCATCCATCTAAGGAAGATTGTTGGGCGTCAAACTACCAGTAGTGTACTAGTGAGAGGAGGTTCGGATAGAAAGTGGGCATATCAGGTGGACCCCAGTTGTAGCCGTGGCTTAGCCAGTCACGTTATTGGACCAACGCGTTTTTGTGCAGAGGACGTGGTCATCACGCCGATGGATGCTACGTGTGATGTGTCGTGCCTGCGGCCAGATTATCCGAGCAGCAATACAGCCATGGTTCCGTTTGCAGCGGCCCATAAAGAAAGAAATTACTGGGTGTCATTCGTAGACCAGCTGCAATTAGGACGCAGTCGTCTGTCTACGAGATCTTTGACAAGTACGGAAAGGCTTAGGACAAGAAACTGTGCGGCTAGACCATTCGAATAACCCAGCAAGGTGTCACGAGGACCGCCATCATAGCAGACCCGATGACGACTGCTAGACCACTGACAGCGACCTCTGCGTGATTTCCACAGTTATCCGGCTGGGCAGCGATGTGAATACCGATGTATCGCGTTCAATGACAAAGTCGTCGCACGGTCGGATTTGAAGGTGTACCATCACGATTGCGAAACGTGGTAATAGTGGCACGCAAAAGCGCCAAAAGCATGGTGTCAAGACTTATTGTTGAAGCGTAGCAGCACTCAACCCAATACAAGCCGTGGTGTGATCTCGGTTCGAAGCAAAATGCCTCCCGCAGGGCAGCGTTTAGTCTCTTGCACGTGCTGCTCAACACTCTGCACATCTCGTCATATGCTGGGGAAGGCGACCAACCAAATATCTTCAGTAGCCTTGTGTCCAGCAACGATAAGTGATTGCGTCCAGGTGATCATGCTCCAATTAAAGGAAGACCATGCTCTGCAAACGCTGACCAACCGCAACACCAGAAGGTAGCTACGGTGAAGTATAACGCAGAGCTACATGACGACAATCTCTTGCACGGACACCTCGTGCATTGAGAAATTGCAACCTGTCAGGATTCCCACGATGACCTTCAACGACACATTGCCGAGACACATAGCGAAGTGAACGAAGACCAGGCCGATGCGCCTGCTACTCCGCAGCAGCAGCACTCTTCCGATGAATCAGATGATCAAGGCCAACATACGGCTGCTTCAGTGGCGGATGATCCATCGACGAGCTTTATGTCGAGCTTCACTTCCAGTTTCAATACGGATAGCACGCGCCCAAAAGGTTTTCGGCTATTATTTAACTCCCCTACGAAGGAAGCCGCTCGTCTAACTGCCGATCCTGTTTTACCACAACTCGGCAACCTGTTGCGTTGCCTGCTGCTATTGGGGAGCCCGATGCTCTGACTCAAACTTACCTCATCGGGTAGGGTCATATGGGCATAAGGAGAAAACCCAGTTCCGGAATCCAGAAGGTCAAGAAATGAAGACGAAGTTGAAGGACTGGGGAGAAGAAACTATTGATGGTGCCCAATACTTTTATTGGCAGAGTCCCAGGTCGGGACGGGTGCTTTGGGTGAGGGAGCGGCCGGAGTCACCGAATAAAACAGGAAAACGCAGGTAATCGGCCAATGCTTTCGTCATTCGCCGCTGCATCTTATATCTTTGATTGTGTGGGTTATTACGTTACTGTTCTCCCCAATACCTAATAACTGCCGAACCGCAAAAGCCAGACGACCCACAGTTCTGCAAGTCAACTGCGCCTGGCTTGTGACAGTATCCTTGTCTCAGCCCTCAGTGCCAGACATTTCTGTCAGGTGCGCCGCAGCCCAATTCACGTCATGCCGAATCTGCCTTTCCTTTATCCTGTCCTGCCTTCCATTCTGGAGCCCGACAATATCACTTTTTATGCGCCTGAATGTGTGGCACTCTCATGGCGTTGTAATCCCGGAAGAATACCTTTTCCGGTAGACAAGTGTTCCACATGATAATATTTACATTATCGCCCAACCCCTCACACTCCCCTCTAACTTCTCTCGCCCATAGTCTCTCACACCCTGATACACGTTGCCACCCCTCACACCAATTTTCAATACCGCAGCCGTGCGAAAGGACACGATATAAGACGCTTCGAAGACACTGAAGTAGGTTTCGCTTAGTTCCCGTTTTCTATCTGATGCTTATATGTACAAGGCCAGAATATATATGTCGTCAACGCCGGGTAACGAGCCCACGCAAACCTATCACTCTGCACACGTTTTTGAGGCGGTCGACTTTGACAGAAATATCAAATGCCGCGGTACATTGATCATGATTTACCACCCGAATGCGGCAAAGGGTTCCGACCCGTACTGGAAGTACAAAAACACTACCATTAATGAAACTCATCTTGTCCCTCGTGGGTTTAAGGCAGAGGTTCTTGATGCTTGGGTGGGTTGGACCACGCTGGAGTCAGCTTGAAAGCATCCACAATTCGATAACCCTCTTCCCTACCGACCCATAAGGTTATGGATATGTCTTCGTTCATTCCCTCTGGGATTAGGACTGTTACGCATCCAGTCGTTGATTCCCCCAAGGACTTCTCCATTTCCCTTTGATTGCTGGCGGCTATAGCTTTAGAGAAAAGTGTGCCGGAGAGATCGACTCTGTCTGCTGGCCCGTTTGAGTACATATATTCGATTCCTAAATTGCTTCCTCTCAGCACTAACATCTCTCCGCCTTTACAAGACCAACTTACGTCTGTGTGGTTGCATGTCCGCCACCAAATTGGTGTGGGAATTCTGCGTTACCGGTTGCGGAGACTCCCTCATTGACGGCAGTCTACTGAACTCTTAACGTTGTTAATTCTGCCTTTGTGCCGAAGTTTTTGGCGCATCTCACCTCTGAGAAATTCGCTGTATTCAACTGACTGGCGGAGCTCAGTTTCCTGGAGCTTGTACAAAACTTCTCCCACCGCTGTTGGCCAGCGCGGAGCATTGAAATGGACTGCTTCTGTAAGGCAGTCAAACATCTCCGTTCCCATACTGCCGACGGCCCAAGACGTAGATTTGTAGGAGAGAGCCCATACAACTAGTTGATCAGGCTCCAGCTGTCGTAGTCGTTCGCATCTGATCCTGGTCGCCATCTTCCTAGCCTTCATTTGAGCAGAGTCGAAATTGGAAAATCTTGGGCCAGCAAATATGAGGACAATATTCCTTCTGAAACCACTCGACTGCTTGAGGGCTTGATCACGAATCAAGGCTTCGATAGCTGATTGTGTTTGTGTCCTCAAATTTTTGCTCGCTTCCCATACTTCTGGTCGGCATGGGGGCCTGTACGACCCCGCCTTCTTCTGGATAGCAGTTCCAACATTGGCTACCCTTGTGCCAAGAACAGTCAAATCCCCCGGTCCGTCTCTTGCATGTGTGAAAGGTGTGTTGTGTAGGGCCGCGACACATGTTTCCAAGTTTGTGATGATGCTTTCCAGTTGTGAGACGCTGCTGGGGGCATTCATCTTCGATACTAGCTTGAAGAAGGGATGTGTGATTTGAGCTGTATGGACTGGGAGTGACCCTGTTTTAGTGCAAACACCTTTTATGTGCGCTGACTTATCAATGCGGTGCTAAGTCTCTGCACCTATGCACACTACCAATCGCAGGTGACGGAGTCCTGCTATGTGATGCAGCCCCACTACTGTGACCTTTTACTCAACCGCTATTTCCTTGCAGTTCCTAAATGTAGCGTAGCATATTTCTTGCGCCACGAGCAGTGTAAACGTCTGTGAGAAGGCCTCGACCTATGAATATAATTTGATTTGTGACAGATCGGCATCGCATTTTCGGTTGTACATGCACGAATCCATAGATCATGACGATTCAATACGTGGACTTGCAGAGAATCCTCAATTTTTCGGAACTTTTCGCGCCAGAGTTGCTGCATCATAGCCAACTAGAGCATCAGCATCGAGCCGTTTGCTCGCTCAAGTACTCCACACCTTAATTGGAGTTGAGCGACACAGAAATGCCATCACATATCTAATCTGCTCGTGGCTGCCATGTCAACAATGTCAGCTCCTGCATGCAGGTCTCTTGATCCATGACCGCCAAAGGAAGGCGGGAGGTGAGAAGTCATAACGTCTCTCACAAGCGTAGCTTGCGCGGTGTTGTGGGCGAGCCAGTCAACCCCTTCGCCGTCTATATAAAGGCCATGTTGTCGAAGGGTGCTTCTTGAAGCCTTTTATTTTTCTCTCCCCTCTTGTACTAGCAAGCAAGCTCACCGCATCACTATTGTCGAACCTTCTTGATTATAATTCAATTCTGAAACATCATGGCATCCACTACAGTTGGAGCTCTTTACTCGCAGGTGTCGTTTCTGGACACTCTTTTCCCAGGACTGGGCGTTGCATTGAGCTACATCCATCCCCTGACGTCCAGAAAATCTCATCTCGGCGCCCGCCTACTCTGCATGTATGGCTTGGTCACTTTCTTGATGAGGTTTGCGCATGGCCGTGTTGCTAGGATCGTGGAGAAATATTTCAGTTGGTCTATTATGTTGATGTCACAGGAGCTACCTAAACTCTAACCGTTCTCAGCGTTTTCTATGGAGGTCCTCTATACCGATGATTCGTACGACGCCCTGAGAAACTGGGTGCAATCTCAGCCGTTCGCCACAGAAACTCGATCCACGATTGTGACTCTCGGAAAGCGAGCCGAGCCGGGGAACGGAGCGACAAAGAACACATTGCAGTACAGTCCAAAGAACTTACGCAA